TTTTGAGGTTTTAACGTTAGGGTTTGTGGCAATTGGATCAGAACGGTAAATCATATTTAGCACCACCAGATATTTCTTTTTAAGATGGTAGGCAAATATGGTAAGTAGCAGCACAGGAAAAAAGAAAGGACTAGCAAAAGGATGAGATAAAATCAGTAAATCGATAATCTATAAATAGCTGATGTACATAGGCTTTCATAGCACTTGAGATTATACTACTGTACATAAATATATGTACAAATTAGAGGCTTGGATGTCAGTCCTAAAAATACAAGGCATTCAATATCTTAAATATTTTGAATGTATAATAATTAAGCATGTATACTAATTTATCAATTCAAATGGTATTTCTTGAATTTTGTTTTTTTACCTTTTTGCTTGTCTGTAATTGAGATTTTGCTTTGCAGTTTTTGTCATTGAATTGCTATTCTTCACCCCATAAACCAATGAAAGATCCAAGTTTAAAAAGCAGTTAATGTACACAAACATTAATCAAAAATTGCTTGATTGTAGTTTATTGTTTGAAAGAGCCATAGATTAATGATTCTGTAGGATACACACTGATATGAAAGACTAAACATACTTCAGGAAGCCTCTGATCCAATATTAATAAATGATATGGCATAACTGCAGCTTTTATTTTGCTTCACGGTGTGTCAAGAATGCAAAAATAGGTGATGAACTTCATTTGTCTCAGGACATCAGTGAAGAATCCTGTGTTCTCTTACATTACCTGTTGGCACTGAGGTACCAAACTTAGCTTCTTGATAGAATAGCTTATTCATAAAACTAATGAAAACTACAGTCAGGATTCTTACGTGCTTTTTATCCAGTGCTTTTGGGTAGTTGTTCCTATCCATACGGAAAAATCTGTAAAGCCTATGACACTGAGTTAGGATTTAGACCATTAAATATCCACCCTTCCAAGTGTAACAGGCAGCAGAATGTCAAGGATGGTTGAGCCTTATCTCATAACTTTGTTCCAGTGCACTGGGAGGAGGAAGTGCAGACTTGAAAACAACCGGTGTGCATAATGGGAACAGTGAGCGATCGATGCCTTCTTTTAATATTCCTTTAGGATCTTGCATCTGTGCATTCTGGCTTGTGTTAAAGTAAAAAGTGGCAGCACATATCATGAAATTATGGTTCTTTGGTTTAATCCTGTTTTTTTTTAATGAAAAGGAGGGCTGACATTCTCTGATATCTGTAGGAATTTTACTTTTCTCCTCAACTATCATTGAGCGCCAAGTATTTTTAGGTCAGTGCTTTACCTAGCATCAATAGATGATATAAACAACTAAACAATAACATATTAGGTAATAAAGGACATAATTATGAAGTATTGGGCTTTTTTGATAGGGATGCTAAGTGGGTGAGCTCTGCTTAGGTTGGTTCGAGTCTATTTATCTTCTATAAATAATAAGTTTGTGGGATTGAAAATGAGATATGAACAGATTTTCTGGGGTAGGTATAAATCAAGTCAAAATACTTTATAGATACAGGTTTTTAAAACAAGACAGTATGTTAAGCCTGGTTTTGCGGTTGCTCTTAGTATTAAAAATTTAAAATCCAGTGAGGGTTTGTTTTTTCATTCGGTTGTCTGTCAAACCAGATCACTGTGTTTAATTAATTTTTTATGAACTTGTTCATCACTAAAATTGGAATATACGTAATAAACTCTTTGTGTCCAGAATAAGATCATGGCACAGACATTCACACTTAAACAGATGTGAGGAAAAAAGATGGAAGAGGATTTTTAGTAATTGTGGATGTTGAAGGTAAAGTGGACCATGATCATAATCTGGAACTGACCACTCAATAATTTATTCATTAAATCTGTAATTTTTTTTAACTATTTTGAATATAGTTAGCCATATCTTTTAGAAAGCATCTAAGTAGTTATATAAAATCTTCAAGTCATCCAGAACTAATGAGCTACTGAAAAATATGTACCATATTTGCAGTGTGATTACTTCCCATAAATTGATCTAGTTTTTTTCTGCTAGGAAAAGAGCTGTCTCCTTTTCTGTATGTGTTAGTTAACAGTGATCAAGCAATCTTTTAATATCTTCTGAGTGACCACGTAGGTTGAGTCTCCTTTTTTTTCTCTGCCAAGTTTATTTCTCAGTAATTTTGTAGCTGTTTCCTGATCTGGTTACAGTCTTTCAAATAATCACAGGAGTATGACATGAGCACCAGGTGTGTAGTTTTGTCAATGGTCTTACCCTACTGCATAGAGATACAGCAAACTTGATTTTTATTTCTCTGCCTGTATTTGTCCGTGTAAATTCAACACGTGTAGCGTGTAATTCAACACGTAAATTCAACGTGTATAGCATGTTCACTTCCACCATGGCCTGTAAAGTCCTTGTCGACATCATCAACTTCAGATGCAGTCCCGTCTTGTAAGTTTGTCCCATACGTTTTCAAACGATGACACTGCATACGTGATTTCAGTCATACATGTATGCAGCTGATAACATTTATTCATTTACTCCCAAATATATTCACTTTTCCAGGCAGTCGTTGTCAAACTTTTCTTTCAGATCATGGGAATACAGAACAACTTTGGGATGAGAAAAAGATATCTGTAGGTCCCCTTCCTTCTCCAGCAACAATCATTCTATCTAGAGCTAATTTTACTGACACTGTGACTTGTGGCACATAATCAAATGCCTTACAGAAACCTCAGCATATTATTTCAAAGCACTTATCAAAATGCGTCTCTATGTAATTGAAAAAGATATAAAGTTATTTTGACAGGACCAGTACTCAATAAAGCGATGTTGATTGACACTAACTGAGCTCCAGCTTTTAATTTATTGCTTATTATATATCAGGATCAGTGTCAAACTATATAGTCTGTAAATTCCCATAATACTCTTTTAAAATATTTGCAATATTTGCAGCTCTTCTAGAATTCTGCCAAAAAGAGATCACACAAACAATTGACGTAAAAATGAACGTCTGCCTGTTTGAAGAAGAATTACAATACACTAAACAGCCAAACAGCTGTATGTAGTTAGGAGGAGTCATTTGAAAACGTACCGAGTTGCCCATTTTGTTGATTTTTGCTGGTTTTAAAGATATCACCAATGATTAACCTAATGCATTCTGTTAGTGAAATAGGATCAAACTACTCAGTGGAAAAGAAATCCTTCAGTCTTTCTTCAACCTTTACTCTGGCAAAACTCTTGTCAACCTCCGAGTCAGTTCAATTAGCGTTAGTAGGCCTGAATAAAAGTAGCTCCTGCAGAATTCGGAGGGAAGGACTTGTATTTTCAGTGAGACGAACCCAGCTCGTTGGAAGTGTTACAGAATCTGTCCCTTTGTTTCAAAAATAAATAAGAATATTCAGGCCTTTACTGTGTCTTTGCTTTGTGGTGTAGTTGTGCAGACCTTACAGCTAAGATGTGTTCCAAGTTAACTGTAAAAAACTTACCCACATTTCTGCTGTGTTAAGTGATAGCTAAGTTTATAGAGGACTGTCAGACTTCTTTACTTAATTCAGCAACATGCAAGCCATCTATCTTAACATCTGGTTTTTAATAACAGTTGACATCTGGGAGCTCTTTTTTATTCCAAGAATGGACTAGGAACAGTAGTGATACTGGCAGTGTATATTTTCAGGCTAAAATTCCTGTCCGTTTCAATCATAATTAATTACCATTCATTTTACTTAGTTTTTAGATTTAATTAAGTGCCAGCAATATGTTGCATCAGCTAACTTTCTGAGTTTTGAAACTATAGAATGTAATTTTTTTACATTTATAAAATATTAATGTGTGAATTTTAAGGATATCTAAAATGATAGAATTTTATTTGATTTTGAAATGCTGAGTTAAATGAAAAACACTGTGCTGTGCCTGTCTATGTTCTAGAAACTATCGCATCAGAATTTGGCACAGTAGAACTATCTACAGATAGAGATATGCACATACACATATGTGCCTGCATAGATAAAGAATTATCATAAAAAATATAATCTTGAGTAAACATATCCAGGGAAGAATTTTTCACTCTCCTGGTTTAGTTCATGGTTTTTATTTTGTTCTTTTTGACTTCAAGTTTGTAATAGATGTAAAGAAAGACCTTCTGCTTTCAGCATGTCTACAGTAAAAGAAACCCTTTTAAAAACAAATTCATGAAATTGTTATGATTTTTTTGTATTTGCCATTAAAGTTATCTATCATTAAAACTCTAAATAAATGAATAATCCCAATGGTTCAAAAATGGAAAAAAGGAGAGAAACTGTCTTAATAGTATTTAACAATGTGTAGTGTTTAAGGATTGCTTAAAAGATAGATTTAGTTGATAGCATATTAGAAAACTGTACTTCACTAATGATAGATTTTGGTTTTATTCTCCAGCAGTTTTTTATCTTTTAACCTACAGAATGTACAACAATTTGAATATAGTAATTACTTTGCTTACTTATAAGGCTTCATCTATTTCTTCTGTCAATGTTGGTTTGAATTGCGTGCAATTAAAAAATAGATAATCTTTTAATATTTAATCTTATAATCTACTTCCTACACACTGTTTTAACTGGGTGGGAAAAACGTTTACGACATGATTCTCCAGCAGTTTTGTATCTTTTAACCTAACAGAATGTAAGACAATTTGAATATAGTAATTAATTTGCTTACTTACAAGGTTTGATCTATTTCTGCTGTCAATGTCGGTTTGAATTGCGTGCAATTAAAAAATAGATTATCTTTTAATATTTAATCTTATAATCTACTTCCTACACACTGTTTTAACTGTGTGGGAAAAACGTTTACGTCACTGTTCTTGTTTTTTTGGTTGCTATAGATGCAGATTCTTGTATACGTAACACGAACTTGTTCAGTTGTTTTTGCTGGCTTACGTTAAAAAAAAAATCATGTTTTTAATAGCCAAGAAAATTGTATTTTGTATTCACCAAAGTAACTAACCTTTTCTTCTTTCATTCCAATGCTAACATCTTCCCTGTGCATCTCCTAATGTCTGGCACACAGGATGATGAGGAGGGTATATGGGCATAGCCGTTCCTATAAACCAAAGTTCCAGTTTTGTTTTGAGGGGTGAGAAACTCTTTTCTATCTCTTTCAAGTTGCAGTCTAATTTTTATTGTTTTATTTTAAACTGCATGGAGCTGTGTGTTTCTTGACGAGTGTGTTTGGAAACCCGTAAAAAATATTTTCTCATATGCAATGAACAATGAAAAACTATGTCTAATGGTTTAACGCTCTGATGGTTTAATTGTTTCGTAGCCTATTGCGGCTAAAGGTGTGGGTAGGTACAAAACTTTAAAAGGAGTGTATTTGTATCTGTATCTGTCTAAACAATTTAATTTTTTCAGTAGATACGGATTGCTTTAAACTAGTATTAATTTGCTATCGTCTCAAAAATCCCTGTAAGAAAACTATAATATCTTTGCAGTATGAATATGAGAGTTTGATACTTCAGAAAGTTTGCCACAGATTAAACATACAATTTGGCTGGAATAGAATTTATAATATGCATGGGGAAAAACGATACTACCTAGTAAGCTAAAATGTTTTAGGGAAATGTTAAAATAAATAGCAGATGCTTAATAAGGGAAGTGTAATCTGTCTATGCAATACATGCTTTTTGCCTGAAATAATCTGATGGACTAACATCCATACAATAATTTGGTCGTTATACATAAGAATACAAAGTGCAGCTTATTTTGTTTAAGCCTCTTTCAATTATGAGTAAATACTTTATTGTCTCTGTGTGTGAGTTATTAATCAGTGCATATTCACTTTTTTGGTGCTTGCCTTTGAAGCTGTAGGTAATTTGTAGCTCATGGTCACTGTGGTCTCAGCACTGCTAAGACCATCGGACCTGGTGGTTCGCTCACAGAGAATGTTGCTCATGTCTCTACTTCTATTTACTACAATTCTATTTACTACAATGGGACTGTTCGGAGGAGCAAAATCTACTCGCATAAGTAAAGATCAATGTGTTATTAAAGCTACCATACTTTACTCTATATTGCTTTGGCCCCTGTCACCCCAAGTCAAAGACGGTATGATTTCTTTTGTTTCCAGTAGTGTTATAAGCCATGTCAGTCATTCTATTTGAAAGGAATAAAATAGATAAGTTTTGTTCTTTTATACTTACTTTTTAGAATAGTTGTGAGATGCAAAATTAGTGCTGTCCATAATGAATAATTTATAAAAAGAATTAAACTGTTGAAGCTTTCTATCACAGAGAAGTTTAAGATTCAATAATTGTAAAATACAATCACGGGCACGGTGATACCATTAACATTTAAAAGAAAGCAACCTTGGTTTATTGGAGTATAGTTATGAACCTTTTTTGGTTTTAAGCTTTCTGATTCAATTTTAAATGTCATGTTTGTACCGGTTATATGCGTAGATAACCTCTGTGTTTATGGACACACATGTTGCATGTGGTAACGGTAGGAAAGGATGTGACTCATTCTAAATTTTTTCTACTTTCCTGAAAGTAAGCAGCTTAAAAAAGAATCTTCAAATGTTCTTTTTCACATGTAAAAAAGGTTTATGGGTTTTCTTAGTGTTGTGTTTTAAGTAATTAGCAAGTTCTGTTAACTGCAGCTGCTTGATATTTTAGTAGCAGTTTATGATGTTATTTAAAAGCAATGTAATTTTCAGCTGTTTGTCAGCATCATTCTTCTGTTTTGGGTGTGGAGAGCAGATCTTTCTTTATTTTCCAGGTCCATATATATTTCCATTTTGAAAACAGACATTCCTCTCTGACTCTTTTGTTCAAATGCCAACGTAATTTATCTGGTATCATTATATACCGGACTCGTGACAAATAACTTCGTTGTTTCCTTTCAAGTGGGGGACCACGGCAAAGGTAGTATAACAAATAGCCTGTCCTCTAGACCGAAGTCGGGAGCAGACCTGTCCTTGTAGGCAGGATAGCCGTGCGTCTAGTGGAATGGCTGTCACAAGGTGAAAATTCATGTCACAGACCTCCTTCCCTAGGAGAAAAAAAATTTAGGTCCCAGACCTATAAACCTTTCTGAAAATACATGTGGTAATACTGAATTTCCTCACATTCACGGTTAAGAGCTGTAAGTATATCTTAAAAAAATAGATGCTTACAAAAGATATACTTAGAAAAAAGAATGGATAAAGCGAACAGCTTGATTTGGCTGCGTGAGCACAGGAGCTTGCAGTCGCCGCTCATCTAGCTCAGCAGTGCGAGCTGCTCAGGTAGAACGGAGCTACTTAGCTCTTGCATTAAACCAGTGGACAACTGGATTTAGTTCTCAGAAGTATTCTTGAGGAGTAAAAGTTTTGAGGCCTTTATTCCTACTTTCTGATGTTTGAGCAGAGCAGCAGTTAAAAATTACTTGATTGTAAGATAACGCCGTAGTACTTTCTGCTTTATAGACTAAAGCCCTGGATCTGTTAAGGAAGTGAAAATTTTGGATAATTGGATTATTTCCTGTTTCTACTTACAATCAATACTAACGATCAAAAGGCTGATACAGTTGAATCTTGTACATACCGTCTTTGTAAATACATGCTTTTCTACATTTGTTTGCTTTGTAAAAAGTATGGACGTTATAATTAGTTCTGTTACTATAACTTGCTGCATGATATTCCTTTTACAATCCACTTTATGATGCTGTAGTTATGTATCAAAAGGAATAGTGCCTGCAATTTAGTTTTGGAACTTTTTAATAATTTCTATTGCTATTTAAATAAGACACACAAGATTCGTCTTGGATGCGTATGGCCCAAGGCTAAGTGAATTTAATAACTCAAATGGTTAGTAATCAGGGTGAAATGAAGTGCCTTGATTCTTGCATTACTATTTAAAAGTGGCATTGTTAACATGAGTAGAGTATCCAAGTAAGTGATTACAATAAATCCATTTCTGAGCTGAGTTTTAAAGCTCTAGGAAAAAACTCTTCACTACAGAGCGCTCTGTTCTGTGTTTTTGACAGTGCACCTAAGAGGAGTCTGGGTGCTCTTCTCACCAAGGCACGGTGATAAAACCCCCTGAGCAACTGTTGCCCCCCAGGAATGATGGGTGCGCAGTTCACTCCAGTTATCTTCACTGCACTGTGGCTGCAGCATTGGGCAGGACGGGTCAACCGACTCTTTGCATGATAGTAGTAGAGCGGATGAGTGGTCGAACTGGTGAACTTTCAGCAGCCTGTTGAGATAGATCTGGAGACTGGATAAAAGGAATGGGAACTAGGTGGAGACTTCACCTCCATGTAGAGCCTATTTCACTCTTCATAACGTAAAGATGCTTAAAACAGCCCTTAATTCATGGGGTTAGACATGTTTTTACCGTTCTTCCTCTCTCACTTTCTCCTGATTTTTATAACAAGTAGTATGGCTGAGGGAAATCATACCTCTCAGTCAGCTGAGTGTATGTTAAAACACAGACTTAATACAATTAAATTTGGTGTATATCTTCTTTAGAAAAGCTTTTCTGTATTTGTATTTTACTGCAGACTTCTATCAAAAGCTAATTGTGAGCATGAGAAAACCAAGAGATCCAACAAGAATGAACATGAGGGATATATTTTATGTCGGAGAGGAAAATATCATTTTAGCAACAATTTAATTTTAAAAGTATTTGAACTGCAAGAATGTAGATTTCTAGAAAAAAAAATCCTCCACCTTACATTTTTATAGTTTGTGTATTTGCCATAAGTTTTAGTTATACAGTTCAAAATATATAAACTGTGGATGCAGCAGTTTCATTGCAACACACACTTTTTTATTAACCAAAGCATATTAATGTCTAAAATTCTGGGGTCTCAAAGGCATATTTTTTTCGGTTTAAAAATACTTGTGTACAAAGTGCACAATGATTTTGAAAACTGACTATCAAGAGACTAAGGGAATCTTAATTTAATTTTTGCTACAGTACTGCAAAATAAACAATATGCTTTTGAATTAGAGTTGATTTCTCTTTAAGAGCATTTTTTTCCCCGCAAAACAAAAAACCTCTATGATACCAAAATGTTTAGATTCTGAACTTGTTTTGTTTCAAGTCTAATTTTATCCTGGTTATATGGTGTTACTAACATTGGTTTAGGTACCGTGCAGATAGTCTCCGACGATCAAAAGTTCCTGAGGCCGTGAGCTCGTACTCTGCCTAAGCAAGCGTAGTGCAGGCTGGTCCTCTAACTGTTTTTAAAAAGCAGTAAGTTACAAATCAGTGAAGTCCTTTTAAACCTTACCACTTCAGCGCTCAAATACTACGCAAGAGCGACATGAAATGATGGTGGAAACGTAGAGTGGCAGGATGAGAATGTCTTGTAAGGGTATAGAGAACTAGTTAGTAAGGAGCAGACGAGGTGTCGGGCAAGTCTCACTGGCCAGCGGGCTGGGGAGCACATGTAGCGGCACTGGTTGGGGCTTGTTAGAGCCAGGATCTCTCCCCCTCTCCTCCCCCTCACAAAGGGAAAAAAAGAAAAAAGATCGGGAGGCGATGATAATATTTAAGAAGTAAGCCTATATAGCAGTCTGTCCTGGGAAACTGAAGGCGTGTGGCTGTCAGAAAAGAGGATGGCTGGCACAGCTGCGGTGTGCAGGCGGGACACCCGTGCTTGCTTTCCCCGCCAGTCCCACCACCGCGGTGCAGCAGAGACTGGCAGAACAGTTGGGCCTTTGCCACAAGTTGTCCATGTGTGTCTGTGAGAGAAATCAACGCAAAACCTGTTTGTGCAGTATTTTGTTTGCGCAGTGCCGTGGATTTTATTCTTTGTCAGCTGTGAAGTAAATCAGATGTTTTAGAAGATGTTTAGGAGTGTTTGGACAAGTTTATTGTCTGTTGTATCCTTAGAACAGGGGTACCATCGCACCTGAAACAGAGAGGGGCTGAAGCTTGTGCCTGGCAGCAAATGGTGTCCCGTGTTTTTGAAACTAGAATCATAAAGCTAGTCTGCTAAATTTGGATTTAGGAGCAGAACATAAAGCCTATAATTTTAAAATTTTGCCATAGTAGACACCGTGGAGGCATTCTTCAGGAGGCATCAGGGTCATTCAGTAAAAAAGCCCTTCAAAGCAGAAATTGTCTACAGAGTGGGCAAAGG